AAAAAAAAATCACAAATACGTTTTTGTAAGGACTTTTGAAGGGATTGGAACTGGTGCACATGCCATAGACTTTGTCAAATTATTTAATATTGATTTAAAAATAAATCTCTTAATTTGATGTCTTTTTTTTAGTTTATGATTTTTTGCTAGCTGTGCTTGACAGCAGGGTTTCTATTTTGCCCTTTAGGATCAACTACCTTTTCTTTTATTTCTCATTATATGTGAATGAAAAGATCTATTATACATGAATTATGAAAATCTCTCATTAACAAAAGTGGCAAAAAATAACTATATTACACTGGTAGTAATCTTCCTTCGGTTCTGGCGCCTCAAAAACATTTCTCTATGCAGGAAAATATTTGGTGACATCACCTGGAAAACAACGGTGCACGTGTTCTGCGTGATACAGGAGAAGACAGACGGGTTATACATACTTGGATCTGAGCACAGGGTCTACTCCCACTGTTGGTTCATCCAGGATGAGCAGCTCTGGATTCTGGAGCAGAGCCGCCCCGAGAGACACCCTTCGACGCTGACCTCCACTGTAACACAAAAGCAATCAAAGGGCAACAGAGTGAATCTTCTCCCACGATGGGGGAAGAACGAGCCGAGGCATCAGCCTGTTGCAAAATCTTTACCAACTTTACCATGAATATTAAATGAGCCTCTAATGAAAACTGGTGTTAGGGCCTCCTGGACAACAGAAGGCTCTTTGTATTGAACCAGGGTTGTGAATCCGGAGATGGTGATTACTCGTATAAAAGGGCTATAAAGTAATCTGCCACTTGCATTGATCTGCCGGAGCTTTAGCAATTATATCTCTTATAGTTAGAATAATTAGTAACATTTCTAAAAATAAATTAAACCAAAGAGTCCACTCAATAATTTCCAGAGGTTTTACAGCTTATGCAGACTAAGCTTCTGAGCGTAAAAAGGAGGACACTATTCTTTTATTTTTTGGTTTACATCCCAGCATAAAAAAACAAGAACAGGCCTCAAGGAGTTATTACCATAGATTGGAAAAACAGGAACTCAGAAAGGCAAATGTCATCTCAAGAATGAGGCTTTTTGCTCTCGCTCTTTTGATGTGCAAAGGATGACACTGTGATTAGATAACAACAAGCAAACAGAGCTGCGGCTTGCTCCATACTAGTCATAAAGACTCTGCAGACAGGATTACTTGTTCACAAAAAAATATCATGCTGCATGTTTCAAAGTGAGCTGCCAATGTAGTGGTGCTCAGACTTTTGGTCTGCATGGTGACGCAAGCAGGAGTGATGTTGAATGCAGAGCGACAACTTCTGAATAATCAGAAATTCTTTCTTACTTACGAGAAGCTCTTTACTTTGGGACACATATTGTATATTAAGCACATAAGATTGAAAAAGACAAACTTTGATGTCTTTACAGTGAAAATAGGGACTTTGCTGTAGCCTATGAACAGCAGGGGAGACTGGAATATGCAGGCAATTTTACATAATATCCCTAGGACTCTAGGGACCTTTGCTTTGATGGCTACACAAAAGCATGCAAACCAGTGTTGCCAGATTTTTTGGTTTGAATTTGTGGGAAAAAATAGTTTGGGAGACTTATGGAACTTTCCCTTGATGAAAAACACAGTAGAAAAATGCTAATGTTTATACAATAGCTGCAAAATGCTCCAAAGTATATTACCAAACTAAATTCTCATTGCTTTAACTGTGGTTCTGAATTTGAGTAATCTATCAGGTCTACTTCATTATATACTTAAACTAGAAAATTGTTGACAGATTTGATTTGTCCTTTATTAGAAAGAACCATCTGGAAAGTCATCTGTGCATACTATTTTGAAGCATACGGCGCATTCAAAAAACCTTGGCATGTGATTAAATGACCAATTTCTCTATCAGTGTCTATCTACTATCAGTTACGCAACCAATCCTATCAGCAAAACACTACAGAAAGCACAAATTAGGGAAAACAAGCAGCAATCTGACAGACTTTGAAAACTAACAAGCAGTCAGTTTAGCTAGCTATATAGTTAGCATGTCAGTAGACAGTTATTTATGTTGTTGTGAGAAAATCTCTGCATAAAAGACACTTGTGGTAAATCACTTAAAATACACCTTGAAATCCAAACCGGGGCCACCTTTCAAAACAGGAATTCGGAGCTGCTTGAAAAATATAAAAAAAATAGCAGTCAGGATAGCTTGCTAGTATAGTTAGCACGTTGACAGATGATCCATTTATCTTCGATTACATTGAAGATTAAGCCATAGCCGTGGAGCAACCGGCCAACAGTTCCTCAAACAACACAAACTGAATGTTTTTAAGGCCTACTTCAAAAAATTATTGGATTTGGACAAAATATATCTAACTCTAACTCTACCAAACCATCTAGTTGGTGTCAGTGGCTGATTATTGCTCCATTGGTCCAACTGTCTTCTGTCACAGCTAAACTGTGTCTATGGCTGCTACCTTACTGGCCAGGAGCTCCTTAAACAACTACAGTTACATTTGTGGATCTGATTTAAGAGTACAGCTTTAAACATGGCAAGATAAGATTATCGCATGACTGTGATCAAGAATCCAGCTGCCTAGAAAGGTCAGATTTGATTGGGTATCTTGGCATCACTCAAACCTCACACCACTAATGGAAAGTGATAATCAAGGGAATATAATGTACTGTACAACTGCCCCTGAGTTTCACCTGCTGCTTTATCAGAAAAGTCATAATGTTTTACTGAGCCTGGGTTTACAGCCTGTGGTATAAATACAGATTTCAGATTAAGGGTTTAAAGTCTTCACACAGACATCTGCAAAAGCACAGTGCTACCCTTCATAAATTGGCTGTATCTAGGGAAATAATGCATGAGCTCACATCCATGAACCACATCACTGTTTGCACAAAAAACACTTTCAATATTAGCATACGCTTTTATGATGATCACTCTTACAACTTTAACCTTACAGGGTAAGATCAGCTTTTACTCATTGGATTTTGAAATCATTCTATCTGTAAGGTCAACTGCTGCATCATATGTGGTTTTTACCTGAGATTTCGGACCAGACTGGTCTTCTGAGGTAGATCCAGGAAGTCAATGAGAAAGTTCATGCGTGCCTGGGTTTCCTTAGATGTCAGGCCGTGAATTCGGCCAAAGAAGATCAGGGTGTCGCTAATGGTGAACTCATTGTACAACGCCAATTCCTGTGCAGCACAAAAGTAGAAAATGAAACTCATATCTGATGCTCTGAGTCACAAACACCAACATTTCCAGCACACCTCAGGACAAATACAACTGCACCAGTGGATGTAAATCTATTACATGTACAAAGTTAGCATCTGTTTTACTCTTACTGCTTTTACTTTGTGTTTTCTTGCTTCCTGGGAAGGATTAAAGCTGGTACTTTTTGTTGAAGGATTAAAGTCTTACATAACAGCAGATATACATTTTTTATGCAACAGCAATTTCAAGAAAGCAGTATATATCGCTAGTTTAAAGATGCATCTGTCCGCATTGCTGTAACAGAAAACATTCAAGGTGTCACATTCCTCCCACTCTGGGTTGCAGATTACTTCCTGCATGGATGGATGCAATGGTCAGGGTTACACACAAGACGACAAATACTATGCTGTGTTATCTACTTCATCAGATACCTAATGACAGTAATGGGGCTCACTCAGGTACAGGTGGCTCATTGCAGCAAAGGCCAAATTACAGAAGCCCCAGAGCAAGGCTTCATACAATCCTTATGGCTTTAAAGCAGCTGATGTGGATGTTGGGGTGATAATTTTCTGGACAGAACACACTTGCTTAAACCTTCTGCGGACAAATGGCTGCAAGGACTTTGATTGTAAGTTTACAGGCTATTTAAGAACAACCAAATGATAGAGAATAAATAAAACCAGGGAGGGCTGCCTTTGTGTCACTTCAACAAATTTGCTGCTTTATTCAAATATGTTAAGGATCTTTGGGCACATGAGTATTTCAAAAAAAATTAAAACAAGAGGAAAGGCACGGATTTTAATGTGAATATATACTATGTGGTGTTTACCTGTGGCATGTATCCGACTTTCTTCCCCGGAATATCGTGGCCAGGAAACGCAGGCGGCTTCCCTAGCACAGTGATGTGACCTCGTGAGATTTTCAAAGTTCCCACAATGCATTTGAGAAGTGTGGTCTTCCCACATCCACTGGGCCCCAAAAGGCCATAACTGAAAAACACAATCACAAAAATTTCAGATAAAACTTAAAGCGTGATCCTGCAGAGGGAAACACTGGGACAGTAAAAAAGTATGTGACTAGGGAATGCTGCTCTTTCTGGTTATTGAGTTAACGGAAAGGAAACTAGTTCACCATTCTAGAAAAAATGTGTTCCTGGAATCTAATCTGAGACAGTTATTTCCTTTTAGACGTTTCAGTCTAATACCAGCCTCTGAAGACGCTGAGATGCTAATGCTGCTAAGTGTTAAAAAAAATCAAATTGCAATGGCTTTGTGACTATTTTCATACATAATGTCAACTTACAACTAACATCTGCTGAATGTAAAGTGGTTTTCATGTAGAGCCATTTTTGGATACATCATAAATTTTATTTTTTTTCATATCTAGGCTACAAACGGTCTCAGATACATCACACAGAGTTTGCACTGCACTCTGTTATCACATGCACTTTTATGAGATATGTCTAGAAATACTGATGGCTAAAGAGCGTGCTTTAAATGGCTTAAATAGCTGGACGGGAGACAGTTCAACACATTTTTAGTTTAAGTTTGAAAAACTTGATAAAAGACTATTATTTATATTATTTTGAAAGTTAAAGTGCCTATACTTATTCTACAATCAATGAGATAATTATCCTCAGGTTCAAAACAATGAACAATAACATAATGGAACAATATAAGTTATATTCCAAGAGCACAGTGGGGTTTTGTAACACTCGTTCTGTCTGCATGTTTTACTGGTTTATCACATTCATGTTTTACATATTACCAGCTAGCAAGAAACATGAGAAACCTTCTAGAATTTGCCAGGTTGTTTATTTGACTTTATTTTCTCTTACATACTTCGTGTGCACATGAAAGCATTGCTACATATTTCTAGGTCAACGTTTTTGGTGGCCCCATTTTTTGTCGTCATACTTGTCACTTCAAGAATGCAGATTCATATTAGAGAAACGTGAATGTAAATCATCTATAAGAAACTGACAACGGAACGAACTAACAGACAGCGACACCAGAAGCAAAATGTGTGCACTTAGAGCTGAACTGTCACTGACACATCAGGTTGAAGATTTCTTTGCAGTGTCATCCTAAGCTCTCCTTCCCCTGTGGGATAGTGGAATTTTCCCATTAAGGCCTTATTGAGAAACAATGTAGATGTTTATAAAGATAACCCTGAATATCCTGCAGGAAATTAAGCTTTCAACAGCTAATCAGTCAGTAGATGCATGACAAAAGTGAAGGCAAGATGAGCAGCTTGAGTTGGGTCCCGACACCTAACCCAGAAATGTCAGCATTGTTTGCAGGTTAAGCATTTATCTGCTCACCAAGAGGAAAAGAAAGAGTCAAATATTTGTTGCCGTTAGTGATACAGGAAGTAAAACACCTTCAGCTTTTCACTATTTCACTCAGTATTTACATTTTGATTTTTACACTTGACTTTTGCTATGAAAATTTATAGTCTTGTCCAGTTAAAACGCTCTAAATTAACAGGCTGCGTTGGTATTATCTACTCACATTTGTCCCTGTGGCACAGCCAGGTTCAGGTTGTTGAGGACCTTCAGTTTGCCATACGATCGGCACACATCTCGACACCGGATCGCAAAGTCTTCCTGTCCAGCCGGCAGAGGCGCCTCCAGATCAGCCTTCATTTTTCCCTCCTTCAGCTGGAAGAGAGAACATGTTGTTAAACACCAACATTCCTGATGCAAGTCTAAAAGCATGCTCAGTATTGGCAGACTTAACAGGACAACAATGGTGTCTCGTGCTGTAGTCTATGTAGATATTGTCACCTGCATAAACCTTCCAAATATCTTTAAATAATATTTTCTTTAGTGGAGAATATGTACCTCGCTGCTTTTGTATTCCTCCAATAAGGAAGGATTTATAGCAGGAAAGATGACAGTGAAATAATGTCAAATATGCTGCAGATAATCTGTAGTTATAGTCAACCTTTCGCAATGTTTATGCAATGACACACAAAGTCTTTTATTGTGTTAAACACAGAGCATCCATGAACTGAACCTAAAGTAAATGTTTTAACTTTGTGCATTTTGTTTCTGTACATGACGTTTTTGTTGTGGTGAAGGCTATTACTGAAATACAAAGAGGAAGTAGGATAACTGTCTAGTCTTCCTCTTTCTACAAATAATTGAATAAAAGATGCCGCAGCCATTTGTAAAAACAAAATTAAAAGTTTCCTACAACAAATTTCTGAGGCCACATTTTAATTTCTAACATGTTTTCCTATTTGTTGATTAAGTGCTTGAAATGAAGTGCATCAATCATTAAATATTCCCAACAGGAAGAGCCGACCACTTAATTTGCCACAATTTTCACATGTGCTTCACTTAAACACGTTTGCCTGTCACAGCGATTAGGGTCAATCACAAATTTGAAAAATATTTAAGTGGCCACTTACAGAGACAAATCTTCCCACTGAACTGGCCAGTTATGTTTACAAATGCAAGGAATTTGAAAGTAGGAAATTTCCATTCCTTATAGTTACAAAATACCTGTTAGTTTATATGGGAAAACCACCCTTTTGACATAAGTGTGTCTTTTTTATAGCCATAACATGTTGATGTAATTCCCTCCAGAACCTCAGTTAACCAATGCTTACACATATTTAACACTTATAGACCCACAAATAAATTGAGTTCAGACGATGTTCCCATACTGTACCGTGCTATTTTCTGCTTTTCAAAAATGGAAATTTCAACTTGTTAAAAATAAAAGCATAATTTTGTGTAGCCTAGCCATCTCTACAAATAAAATATCCATCATTACTGTTAAAGTAACAACATTTGACTCCTGAATGAGTTTTAGTCCCCTGGAGAAGGTTGCAGCTCCTTCAGCAGGAGAAACAAGGCTGGATTTGAAAGACTTCAGTGCAAGAAGCTGAGAATACAAACTGTTATTTTTCATAGGCCAACCACCAAACAAATCTCCCTTCAGACCAAACAACACACAGAAACAGCCAAGCATACTCTCATGTTCCTGTTAATTTCTCTGCATCACAACAAAGCTGCAGCAGACAAAGTATGTGGGTCGTAAAACAATCCTGAGTCCAGTAATCTCTAATAACGGCGTTCTTTCACGGGTTTCCACCAAACTCCCTCCTTTAATCCAGAATCTCTCATTTTCCAGCAAGGAGATTAGGGAGACTGCAGTGAATAATCTGCTGCTGCATTTGGTTAGCCTCACCTTTGGCACTTTAGCCTACATTTGCAGACATGTCACGCTGATTCTGTGTGGCAACTGTAACCACTTCAGATGACACGCTGATTTAAAATGCAAACAAACGCTGACTATGCATCACTGAATATGAGAAAGACCTGGAAAAAAGACAACGCTAACCTCATCTAGAGGAGACCAAACCGATTGAAGGAGCACAAACTCACCATTGGACAAGATGTAGAGAAAAAGGGAGATGTGGAAGGGATGAAGAGCACCTGAGCAGTGAGGCCAAAGACTGAAGTCAACAGGTAAAGAGCATTTGAACATCAGCTGACACAAACATCTCGTCCGCATGAATGCAAAGTGGAAGAACAGGTTGAGTTTGAGAGCCGGCAACTGAAGAAGGCATGAAGAACAGACGCCTATAGCACGCACGCACACACACACACTTCTGCACAGTCTTTAACAGGTGCTATAACCTCAGTAGCGCTCCATAATCATGAATATGTTTTCTGATGTCCCCAAAATAATACTTGGGAATAAAAAAAACAACAAAAACTAATGACATATTTTAAGAGCGTTATTTTCTTTTCTCCTAACACATATTTCTTTTGTAGCAATCCCACCCTTCCACCCATCTGACCAGATGGACAGTCCTATACTTGATGAAAACACCACATTGCGTCCCTGTCGCCTCTTTTGCTTGTACACTGCGATAATGACCTCGATCAGCCCAGCAGAGGCTCGCTTTTCATTCATAACAGGCTCTGCTCTGTTGATCAGGAAGAATTTCTTACCTTGCCTGCCAAGTTGTTGCCAATTTGCGTCACCACCAAGTGGAAGAAAACAGGCTTGACGGCAGTATTTAAATCTCTCCGAATTCAGGAAGACACATTTGCCGAATAAAAATTGTCAAAGAGAAGTCAACGAAGGGCTATTTATAAGCCGAGCCCTCTGCAGCCGACCAGCTGCTGCGCTTTCACTTCTCCCTTTCACGCAGGACGTGAGCGCTGCAGCAGTGCTGCGATGCTCGGCGGTCGCTCTCTGCCCCCCCTCTGAAAGATAACCCTCATCCACCCTCCCTGCTTTACGGGTAAAAAATGGAGCTCTGGCCTGAAATGTGACAAAATGAAAAAATAAATCCCAACTCCATCTCTGCAGCGGCGCACCAAGGCCTGCTGTCGAGGGACCACCTCGATCCTGGAGGCTTCCCGCGAAAAGACCGCGACCCAAACTACCTGAAAAGCATCTTACCCGCACCTCCATCTCTGTGCTGTTTGCAGGTCCACGCGTGGCATCATTCCTACCGGCAGCCTCCGCGGCCATGGCAGCAGGGAGGACAGCCGGACCGGCTGGGTCTCTGTAGGAGAGAGAGAATGAGGAGGGAGAGAGGGGGGAGAGGGAGAGAGTTAGATAGATGATGAGCTCTGGGAATTTTTAGGTTTAAGTCAGGCGATCTGTTTGATCTGCTTTCAGCGATTCCACAGATGCACAGAAATGCAGTTTGCAATTTTCTGATCTATTTGCCCAGAAATTGGTGCCAGTTTTAGCTGATGCGGAGCTGCACTAGCCTGTAAGCAGCTGCAGGGGCTCGATTAATAATATTTTTTTTTAAGAAATAAAAGAATTCACCAGGTTGCTAATATCAGTTAATTTGGCATTTCTAACATTAACTGCTGCTGCAAAAGCAAAGGAAGTGAAACTAACCGATGGATTCTTGTAACGATGTCGTTCCAAAAATACCCGCTAGGCGGAAGCACAAAAACAAGAGACCTTTAGATGAAACGAGGTCAAACAGGCGTTTGATCGCTGATTGATGAAACTGAATGTGATACAGACACATAAATGACTGTTACGGAATGAAGGAAGGGAAATTTCCCCTGGCATCTATGTTTGTGTTTCTGGTAGTAGCACAAACTTTGTGTTTTATACAGTTTAGTTTCTAATTCCAGTTTTTATTTCATTATTTTTCACATGTGATATATTGACAGACAACCTTAAGCACTTTATAAGTTATGGGTGGACACGCAGAAGCCCACAAACAGTGCTTTGAACATTAATATCATCAATCAGGATTTTGGACCAGAAGCGTTTATCCCGTATTCTACAGAGAACTGCACAAATTATCAAGGAGGAGGATAACCACTGTACATTCACACTCATATGAAATGCTTATGATCATGGTTATGATTTTTCTTCACTGCATCTTCATTAAAATACATGCAAAAATCGAATGTAAATAAAAACAGTTTGAAACACAAAGTTTTCACCCTGATTGCACATCAGAGAACGAATCAATGACCATGCAATTTCATCGCCCACACAGCTGTTTCCACAAATAATGATTTTTTAAAAACACTTCAGTTTTTTCTACATTTTAAGGAACCAAAATGCTTCTCAGCGCTGACAGCACTGCAAGGCTGGATGTTGGAGCAGCAGGCCCCTTTGTGCAGAAAATTACATGTTCTTCTTTCACTATGTCTTTGACTGAGGCACTGGTTTATATTTGGAGTTGATCACTGGGTGCTACACAGTGGCTGCCTGCTACTCCTAATACATATGATGGCTTTAATGCAATGGAGACAACTTTATCCTTCTCTAAAGAAAGACCTCAGCATTGAAATCATTAAAAATGAGATTTAGATTCAGCTCTTTCTCCATGTTAGTGTCTTATATAAAGAAATGCTTAATGACAGCTAAGAAAAAATGTTGTGGCTTATTTAAAAAGAGTGAAGGGGGGAGGACTATGAGTTCAGGACATGAAACCAGACGGCTGATACTATGTACAGATTGTGAAGCGTGCTGTTCTACACTTCGACACCACTCTTTTAAATACACTGCGAAAAAAGGGAACATTTGATCATCGCAGTGTAACACAAAGTCAGTCAAACTTCTATGCTATCACCAGTGTTCTCTGCACACTGAGCCTCTGTGAGTCTGGACAGTTTAGAGAGGCTGTGCCAAATGTTAAGATGCCTGTAACTTCATCTGTCATGAGAACAGGGCAACAGTGGCAGACCTACCAGTTCTGTTTTTTCTCTGGCAAATGCCAGTCAAGCTGGAAGGCACTGGTCTTTGAGCACAGGTCCCACTAAAGGGCATTCAGCCCTCACATGGCCCTCCTGGATTCTGTTTGGCCAGACACATGTACATTAATAGCCTGCTGGAGGTCATTTTGCAGGATTCTGGCAGTGCTCTTCTTGTTCTTCTTTGCTGGGTGGACACCTTTCAATGTCCCTGTCCATCTCGTCATGTTACAGCCCACCTCCTGGTTTATTCTGTGCTGGGAGACACAGCAAATCGTTTTTGTGATGGCAGGCCTGAATGTGTTTAATTTAAGAAAAACTGAATAAGCTGCTGACATTTGTCTTGTTTTTGCCTCTCCAGTGTATGCATTGTCATTTTCTTTTGCACCAAAGCAGGTGTAAAGGATTCAAAATGGTATGTGCTTCCTAACTGGACAGACTATGTAAACACATCCTGATTTAAATGTGAATAAATTGGATTCTTCAGTTATGTTTTTATGTAATATAAAATTTTCAGCCTAACTTGAAACCATGTTTTGTTTCAATTGTCACCATGCAAGTGTCATCAATGTGTGACGTTTCATAAGGCAGGAAGGCCCTCTGGAAAAACATGTTGCCCAACCCTGGACTAGAGGCACGAGTAATGCATTGAATAGAGATATATGTAGGATATCTGAGTGTTATTACTGCAGCAATAATAAGAACTAATAACTCGTTAAGGGGTGCTTCAATAGTGCAGGTATGTACTTGGCTAACAAACAAAAAGTCTCCAGTTTGATCCTGGGAGGAGACACAAATCCTTTGGAAGATATGATGGAACCTGATTATTCAAGACGTTGTATGTAAGGAGAAGGACTTTAAATTCAATGATAGATTCAACAGTGAACCACTAAAGATAAACTAAACTTCATCTTTCGGATGCTCCCGCTAGGGGTTGTCAAAGCCCCATCTCTACCTAAGCCTAGCATCCTCTTCTGTCATGCAAGACCTTCTGGAGGCCCTGCTTCCCTACATCAATGAATCTTCTCGGTGATCTTTTTCATTTCTTCGTGCCTTCTGGGTCCATCTTCAAAATCCCTTTTTTAAAATATCCACTATCTCTGCACATGTCCAAGCTATCTCAGCCTTGCCTATCAAACTTTGTCTCCAAAATGCTCAACCTGAACTGTTCCTCTGATATACTCATTTCTAATTTTGGCTCTCTGTCAAGAAAGAAGAAAATCTAGTATAGAAGAAACATGATCTATCTTTCTTAAGCCTGTCAGTACTCTCGCTGCAGCGTTTTGGATTAAAGGGAACATCAGTGCATCACTGAAGTCACAGTGCATTGATTTGCTTAGCGTGTAATGCCTTTAAATATCCACAAAGGGGCAGAGTGGACCAGTTTAACTAAACAACAGTCGGGCTAACGATTAGAGATGGGGGTTGAATAGATAGAGAGCATACAGAAAGAACGGAGAGGGTTGCAAAAGTCAATGAACAGACAGTAGGATTGTCCACTTCATTCAGTGAAAAGCAATTACGTCCCAGGCTCACAAGTGAGCAGAAACAGGTCCATTTGTAGCTATTTTTAACTTCCTGACGCCTCTGAGCCCTACAGTATTGTTTAATCATTCCAAAGTATTGAGTGTGCCCACTTTGGCCAATTAGGCCAAAACCCCCCAGTCTGTGTCACAGTCAAACTGGATAAACGACACGCGAGCGCAGTCTCATAACGTAACCGCTTATTTAAACCAGCTAAAAGTCGTGTCCTGGATTGTTATCCCAACCTAGAAACCCCCCAAAGAATCCAAACAATGCGTTGTCTAATTGGGTGAAGGGTTGAGGGAAATCTGTCTGATTAGCCTTCTCCAACAGACGGGGATTAAGCTTTTGGTCTGTAATTATTATAAAGCATACGTCAGCAGACATCCACCCATTTCAGTGGAGCAGAGGGATCCTGCGAGGTGACTGTGCTCTCTCTCAGGCCAAGTCAGACGCGAGGACCCAAGAATAGGAGCAGTACTGGAGCAGGAACAGGAATATCCTCCTGAGTCAGTGCCACGACGCTGACAAACCACGCTCCCCGGCAGAGCTGCCTCTGCTCCGATAATCAGCATCCTATGCTATTCTGCTCAAGATGGCGGTGCAGGCAGCGGAGAAGGACGGAGTAGTGAGTATTTTGAAGGTTTTCGGGGAACCGATCCGGGGTTACGTGTGTTGGTATTTATTTTCTGTGCACGGGGGCCTGTTAGTTGCGATTTAAGCGCACCGTTAGGTCGATTATCCGGCGCTTATTGTAAATGCGGAGCGCCGGGCGCAGCGCTTTCAGAGCGTAGGGCGACTCCTCTTTCATCTGTGGCCGGGGAGGAAATGGGGAAATCCAATACGCTGTGGTGAAATGCACCGGCGGTGTGTGCTCTTCTAGGCCACCCAGCCGGTGCGCATTTCCATCGTAGTGCCAAATGGTGCCAAATGTGGGGCTCATTTATAATAACTCATGGCTCCCGGCAGGAACGCTGATAACAACATGACAGGTCTGCTGCCACCTCGTCATTGTTGTTGCACGCCGCGTACGAGGCCACACTCTTGTGCATATATTGAATGATAGGCCTGTAGCCTCTTGTTGTGCCTTTAACCTCAGCCATGCAAGTTGTATATCCTACCTGACAGAGCGATAAATGATACTTTGCATCCTGTGTCTTTTGTCACTGGTGTTGAAGAATGTGGAAGAAGACCACCTGAATGACTCGCTGGGGAACCCCGGCCTCATCTCACCTGACAAGGAGGATTTATCACGCCTCCTGGTATGAAATATTTAAACGATTTCCCGAGTTTCCTTGTTTGATGCTCGCTCCTGGCTGTGCGTAATAAATTCAATGTGTGCAATGCGTAGACGGTGCCATTCAGCGGGCGTATCCGGGGGGGCATGCGGCCGGGGAAGAAGATAATAGTGATGGGCATCGTGGACCTGGAGCCAGACAGGTAACATAACACCTCACAAAGGCGTGCATGCGCACACTCTTTATCTGGAGCCGTGTTTTTATCTCTGCATATTTAAAACATTCTGATTTACGTCTGCACAGTACACATTCTTTGCTAAAGGATGTTAGAGATAAGGTTTTTTTTTTTTGTTCTTAGGCTAGTCAGACTTGCACGGCCACTCGAGGACACACTGAGTAATGCGTAGGCAGCCAGAAAGAACAGTGGCTCCTTAAGTATGCAGAGACAGGGCGTTCCCTCACCAGCAGGGAGAAAAAGGGGGGGATTTAAAAAAAAAAAATTAAAAAAGAGAGAGATCCAGTGAAGCAGATTTGTTTGGGTGTGTCCTTACCCTACATGGAAACTTGTGTCAAACTTGGAAGAAACCTCTCGATGACCTCATCTTGTTTAGTGCCTGCTGCTGGGAGGGTTTTCCATGCCAAAGTTCATGTGAATGTCCCAACAGACAGAGCAGCTCCAAGGCCTAAACACACACTGTCTTTCTTTGTTGCGTCTCATTACTTAGAAACTTGATGCCTGTAACTGTGACCATAAACTTACACCAAGGCGCATAACTGTGCAGCAGCAGCAGGGGAGGGTGGATAAACAGAACTAGCAGCAGGGATTATGCATAATTAACTCACAATTGGTGAGAATTGTTCTTACGCAGCAGAATTATGCATCTCATTTATCCCAGATTATCTGATGTGTGCTTTACCACTGCATCCTGCCTGAATACCCGATGCCTTGTTTTTTTGTTTTCTCATACCCTCAGCTTTGATGTCAGCCTGACCTGCGGACGTGATTCAGAGAAAGGGGAGCCTCCATTTGATGTGGCCCTGAAACTCACGGCTCGTTTCACTGACCGTCAGTTCCTTCGCAGCGCTCGGGTTTCTGGGAAATGGACAGAGGAGGAGGCGTCCACTGTGTATTTTCCCTTCATCCCCGATCAGCCTTTTAGGGTAAAAAAAATCCCTTTTCTCACATCAAATAATTCTGGGTAATCCCCAGCAGTCGACTGTAGCAGAGATATTTTCAGAATTAGTTATAATGTATATTATCTGGCAGCATGATACTAAAACACAAACAGGAAATGTTGTCCATGCTTCATCATATTGTAATGTAAATACAGCCTGTAGCCCATATAGTGGCCTGTTTACTGCGTTAGGGCCCACATCAGCTGTTGTGATGTGCTGAATGAGTTGGAGTTGGAGGGTGGAGGGGGTTGAGCAGCAGGGCATATGCATGATGAGTAATCTCATAACACCCGAGGACTTGTTAGCTCTTAAATGTCATATTCTGCTCCAATAAGTCTGAATGTGCACATGAATAACACACATGGTATACGGCTAAAAATATCCAATAGTGGCAATGAAGCGAAGAACAAAGCATGAAGTTTCTCGAGATGTTTTCAGGACACTGAATGAAGTTGTTCTTTCTCCCGTTTAGCCGAAGGTCTGTTTAAAGTGCCAAGGTCACGACACCCACACGTCACCGTGAAATGCACCGTAACATTTGCTGCAGTGTTGGCAACTCTGTGAAATCCATATAGAGGTTATACTTGAGGAGCTGGAGGCTAAAAGACGGCAAATGCCCAAAGCAACTGGGTCGGTAATTTGTGTACTTGTAACCATCTCTATTGCGTAATGTCTCGAAATGTTCAGGGCTCTAGTGCATGTGTACAAATTTAGTAAAAATTAATTTTGGCACGGATTGCTGGAGCTATTTTTATTTATCTTGCATAGTGATTGTGACGTGATCTGCTTGAGAAAGAGGTCCAAAGTCTCTTACAGGTGTGCACTGCAGCTGAGTTTGGTTCACTGTCAAAACCAGTGCACATGATGAATCTCCTTTGCAAACTTAAACAATTCAGTAACCCCTTGCTATCCTATTGATGGGGTACATTATACTTATCATGGTGGAGACCACTCCACCATGATAAGTATATGGATTTACAGTGATCCTTACTTCTAAGGAGACACACACAATGTGAGCAAAACTATTCCAACATCATAACAGAGCCACTGGATCCCCTCATTGCAGGGGTCAAGGGTTTTTGCTTAGTGTGTTTTCCAGTCTGTAATATCTTTAAAACTCAGCTGTCCAGCATTTAACATCTGCTAAATGGATGCATGAGAGAAATTTTTACAAAGAGAAACTCTTTCTGTTTTTTAAGAATGCGTAATATGCATATGCAGACACAACAACTTAAGTTATTTTTAGAGGTGAACCCTGCATCTGGTTGTTGAATGTCAGCTCTCTGATAAAGTGTCATTGTTTGTGGTTGCAGCGTGACTGAGCAGGTCGGCACAGTCGTGACTCTGTCGAAAGCTGGAGGCTGGAGATTAAGTTTGCCATGCAGAATGTTTAAAACAAAGGGGCATGTGGAGAGACACATGATGTGCTGTGGTCTCAGAGCAGGATGGCTTGTTTCTGCTGCTTCATCTGAAACGTTCTGCCTTGAGTTGTTTGACGGTTTCTTTTTTTTCTTTTTTTAAAATTTCCCCCCACTGGTATAAACCACGCGGAGGTGTTTATGCAGTTACATTTTTTGTTGTCGGTTTGTTAGGATTCAGTGTGTACACGTACAAACAAGAGAAGAAAATGAGAGCGAGGCTCAGCTCTAGCCTACTTATTCAACATCAACTAAAATAGCTGATAGTCATCCTCAGTGTAAGGGGTCATTTGGTCTTTCTCCTTACAAGCGGATGTCTTTATCATGCACCCTAACCAAGGAAGAAAAAATGACAGATTTATTAATCCTTTATTTATCCAGGTAAAAAATCTCATTGAGATTAAAAATCTAATTTCCAAGAGAGACCTGGCATCATGGCAACAAAAGTCACATACCACATAGGTATATGACATTTAAAACAAATACAATATCCCATACCAACACGTGTAAAATATACAATAACAGATCAAATTAAGAGTACATTAAAAACAATCACACTGAGTAAAAGAGCTGTTCTCTCGTTCCTTTAAGACAGACTTAAACTCTCCCAAGGTAATTAGCTTGGGTAAAAGACCGAATGTTGAGGCACACAACAATGTGTGCCGCTGGTAAAGTTTCTGAGCTGCCTTTCCTCATAACAGCCATCCCTCAACGTTTTCTCCATTTAAAGCAATGCATTATCAGGGATTGTAACATCTAGTCCTTTACTGAATCTATTTTGTAATTGTTTACTCTAATTAAAACTGCACAAATAATATTTTTATATTAACGAGCAGAGAAAGAAATGGTTGTATAAAGTGTAATGCGTCCCTTCAGCTCATGAGGTGATTGTGTGTAACTCTGACACAGCTTTTTCCACCCGCCCAATTTCTTCTGCTTATTGTGACTGTATGGAATGAGTGTGTTCAGTCTCTACTTGTGTCATGAAGTCAAAAGCGGTTAAAGTGCGGTATTTTCTTTCCACCTTTTGCCTAACTGTCTTTTTCTCCGTGTCTGTCTTCCTTCTGCAGATTGAGATCCACTGCGAGCACCAGAGGTTCCGGATATTCGTGGATGGACACCAGCTCTTTGACTTTTATCACAAAGTAAAATCTTTGCCCTCTATCGACACAGTACGAATACAAGGAGACCTACAGATCACCAAGCTCGGTTAACTTGCCCTCTGACCAATTCCCGCTCCGCAAGTCGTGTGTGAAGCAAGGACTTGATCACACATGACCACACACACACGTGCGCCTGTTACATCATCATCCATAGCCCATCGTACAGCACTGCATCAGCATAGTAACTGGATCAAAGTTTTTCTGCTTCGCTGTTTCTTCTTCTTCTTCCTCTTCTTTATGTTGAACCAGGATCTGATGTGATGGTGCTTTGTGGGTGAATGTGTTTGATCCATTTTTCAGGTATTTTTCCCTTGTAGCCCCAGTTTTTAGATCAGCGAACTTGTAGCTTATTTATAGGACATTCCACTTTTATGTCGAATCCTTTAGGGAATTTGAGATGGAGGCAGGTGTGGAGGTTTGAAGAAGCCAGTTAAGATAAAAATATCTGACACTTAGCAGCTGAAGTGAAAGTTAAGTGTTGCTCATGGGTAGAACAAAATCAAAAACTTAAACTTAATTCAACTCACTTTGTTTAAACATACAAGCGTCCTCTTAAATCTTTTGCTGACCAAGCAACGTGAACATATGTGCAGTAAAACTCAGACAGGCCAGAGCAGTGTTCCCAAATTAGGCGGATACATGATGTTATGCGAGATGCAACTGGTTTCAATTCAAATATACCTGGACATATATGTATATTTGATATGCTTGAGTTAGATTGAGCTCAGCACAGCTGGATGTGTATTTCAAAAACTCATCTGAGCACAACACAATACAGCATAGCGGCCTGTTTTCTCTCTGCTGATGTATATCCAACTCTGCTGGCACTCCTCTGCATCCCTTGGGTTTATTCCAGTTGTCATGGTAACACGTTGCAGCCTCATTGACCTAAATACCCAAAAATGAGGATTATATCATGACAAGATGTAGCATCCCATGCTTAACACAGCGTGTCTGGGTAGTTTGCACTTTTTTTTTTTTTCTTAACTACAGCCACTCTCCTGTAGGTAGATTACGCTATAGAGCTGCAGAGAAATGAATTTAAAATTTGACTTCTGCTCCTTTTTCCTTTTGCAAGCCTCATCAGAGGTGAACACTAAAATAAGATAGAAGTTTTACTCCTTATATGAAGAAGAAACCGTGCTGTCAGAGAGGTCACAGGTTCAGCCGGGTGCAGGTTCAGTCACACATTTTGGAGTCAGAGGTCAGATCCTGGGGGTACTTTGAATGTATAGGGTCGATGTTTTTTGTTTATTATTTTTTTTAAATAGTAGCATAGAAGATATAGTGATGCACAGATTGATTTCTCAATGTCACAGTTTTTGGTGGTATGGCTGGTGCTGTTTTAGTCCATTATAGGTCTTGTGTGTCTCATGGCTTTTTAAAAAAAAGAAAACGGTTTTCCTGAATCATTCCTCATCGGCATCTTGCCCACACTGATGCAGTCTCATCCTTTCCTAGTGCTGCAGGCTGTGTTTTAGAAGTGTAACTAACACAAATATCTGGTCTCTTATGCGTTGTTTTCTTTATGACAGTTTCCTTCACTGGGGCAGGGAGCAAGTTCTAAAAAATATATACAAATAGAGAAGATATCTTCAAGTTAAACCCACAAGTATTGTGTGTATGAAATCTTAAGGTGCTCTGTTTACACTCTTCCAGTATCAACATTGACTATGCGTTATGAGGTTTTTTTTCATACTCTAGAAAGATGTAAAAACTCACTGCAGACATTAAAAGGTACTTTTTTTTTCTGTTTATGCATTTGTGTTTTTTGGCACAACTTCACCTACTTCTAATATGCATGTAGGAGAAGGAAAAGTCTGAGGAAGACAAAGCTCTTGCAAAAAGCTGGCCAGATTTGTTCCAGACAAATGGCTTAGGGCAGCAATAAAGTTTATCTTTGTTGCTGAAGCCTCGACCTCTTTAAAGGGTTGTATAAGAAAAATGATTTAAGTTTAAGTTCTGTTCATGGATCAGTTATTAGCCTGAATATATTTGCCAAGTTGTGAAAAATCCCTTTTGTGTGTAATTAAAATTGTATTTATTAAATGTTGGTTAACGGCTATTACCAGTCCCACTTTAAGAAATGTTAATAAATCATTAAAGTTTCCTGGGTTTATAAAGATGCATTAAAGCTGAAATTATAAACGTTGATAAGCTGTTCATGAATAATAGATACGCTCTGGTGCAGATGCCCTGCAGCTGTTTCCCAGACACTTAAAAAAACAAGGCACGTGTCATTTCACATGAAGGGTTAGCCAAGGGGGTTTTTCACAACTGAAATGTTTCCTGAAACTGCTCATAAATGTGATTTGTTATACATTTATAACACGTTAGGGGCTGTAACAGAAACCAAAGTCATGATACAAATAGTACATTTTGAAGGTCATTCAGGTACAGAAGTATCATGCATCACAATAATGGAAAAATGGAATGGCGCACGCTGTTTTTCTAGAATTATTACATTGTTAGAAATCATTAAACTATTCGATAGAAATTCACAGAATAAATGATCACAACTTGTAAATGTTGGAAAGCGGCGCTGCTGGTTCGGTTTATGACAGTAAAACCTAAACCAGGTTTCATGAG